TCAATGAAAACTGCCTTTACAACCATTAAAGTGTCAAGTATATACCTGTGATACTGAGTCCTCCTTCAAACTGCAAGAATCGGCTGTCTACTTCATCTGCTTGTACTACGGCATCCTCAATGCGGTCAAATGCAAATGTACCATCTGTGCCCAACTGAGCAGCAATGTGAAATGAATATCCAAGGCTAAAAAAAATGGTTTGCAAATCTTAAAGGTTCTTGAAGTACAAAAGATTAGAACATTCATCCTCTAACATTTGTGTTGTTGACTTCATGTTTTTATACTTTACAACCCAATGTGAACTAGAGATGTTATAAAGAATGGAATAAGAAATGGCAGGACGATTAAAAATGGTGACTTGAGAAGAAGCGAAGGAGTCTATATTTGTTTGAAGATAATGCCACATTCTGTCAAGGGACTGAGAAAACTGACAAAAACATAAAAGGATAACCAGACCACATAGTAATTATAGGTGACTGATTAATTCATGAATTATTTACATATGCTGTAGTGCCAAATGAGTAATTATTAAAAAATGTAAATTGGGAGTTCATTTGCAGGTTATTTAGATATGCTTTATCAAGTGCAGTGGGTATTAATATCAAATGAGAATTCACACAACAATTAAAAATTGTAAATTTAAAAGTCATGTTAAGCATGCTGTTTCAAGTGCAGACACTATTTTGTGCCAAATGAGAAATGGCTGGATGATTAACCCTTTTCCATACTTTCTATTCTCAACCTCCCTTCTACTGGTAACAAATTAATCTGGGTGAAAATAAAAATGTTATGAACTGTATTCAAAGCATAACAATTCTGTTATGTTTGCCAGAAATGACCATTGGCATTTTTATGAATAGACATGGAAATCTATGCCTGGGGAATTTCCCACCCAGTCAATTCAGAACAAATACATGTAGGTCTTCATGTAAAGTGCCTAATATTGTTGTCTGACTCTGACCAAAACTAGAGTGTGTCAACAAATTTTAGTAAAACTCTTCAGCATACAATTTTGTGAAAATTAATTCAGACACTCTCATGTTGTTTCACGTGTACAGACGGACAGATGGAGTGATTTCATTATGTGTTGTGCATGGATACATTCATGCTTGAAAAGATTCTTTGATATGCTTTTTGAAAGAAACACCGTGTCACCTGTTATTTCTATACAACTACAAGAAGAGATGTCAAAATGTGTAAGGACCAAAGATATCACACTTGGCACACAATCATAACACAGCAGAAAATCTTCCACATTTCCAGTATTTCAAGTTCACAGCAGTACAGATTCCCTGTGTTCTGTGTTTCCAGCATTCTATGGTTTGATCAGCCACTGCTTCCAGCACTCCATCATGCCAGCAGCCAGTGTTTTCAGATTATCATGTCTCCAACTTCCAATCCTCTCCCTCACACATAACAGCCAATCAACCAAAAAACAAACAATGGGCAGAGTCTTGTGAAAGTGGAAAATGTCACCCCCTTGCTGAATTGATGATCACTTACAATCCAATTATGTCATTTGTAATTATTCATAAAATTTACAAGTGCAAAGTTTTTCTCCAGGGAAGAGAACACTATAAGAACTTATACTAGTAAACTGTAGTTTATTAGTTCATACTTTTGTACTATGAAGACGTCTGGGTTGAGTGATGGGGAAAATAAACCAAAACCAATCAGAACATAAAATGCCTCAGCCATGACTAGAATTAAGTACACATGACACAAGTCAGATTAAATATAATACGCACTTGAGCAAACTGTCATCTTTTTTCAGAGCTCCTTGCAAAGTTTTAATCAGCTTGGAAGCTTCACCTTTCTTCTGCCCCACATTACTGAGGGCCTGAACAGCAAAGAACAGGTCAGGCACTGTTGATGTCTCCTGTTCCAACACTTCTCCAAGGATCTACAAAAATATTATTCAACTCCAACAAGTTTCAATAAATCTCAAGTTTACATTAAAATATTTTTAGAACCACTAAACAAAATCATGACAACTCATTTTAGCCTCAGTAACATGCAACTACATTACAATGTTTTATTATTCTTGCAAAACCCAACACAAATAACATAAATTATGTACAGCATGTTATTCTGGGTTACCAACATTCCTTCAAAATGTTAGCAACCACCAAGAAGACGTCATCACAATCGAGAAGACAAGAATCAACATCTTCAAATCCAAACCTCAAAAACTCCAAAATCAAATTAAACCAAACTGCATTAACACAACCAAATCTGGATTAGCTAAAAAAATTCTGTAAAGAGAATGCCTTGATCTTTGATGATACAGATCAAAAGGGATATTACCATTTTGTGTCCTATATCCCTACATCTGAAACTGTGCTTAACAAAAACTCCCAATTAATCCAGAAACTTTTAGTAGTATTAACATTCATGTACCATTTCACACTAACCTTGACAATGTTGGCAACAGGTAGGGTTCCACAAGATGCCAAAGACTTCCAGGCATTGGTCACATAATACAGTAACTCTGGTGTACCAATACCATTCCCAATATTTTCAAGGAGAAATTTACATACTTCCTGGAATTCAAGAGAAGCAAAGAAGCCAACTCAGCAGTAAAATGAACATAAATTCAACGAGTATTCATTATGGGTATTTCAATTTACTTATTAGTAGTTAAATTAATAAATTTCCTGTCATATAAAACCACCCACTTAAAAAATACCTCAATTTATATTCAGAGATCTAACCTGTGGTTTTGGTACTGCTTCTCCCAGAAGTTTATAACCTAACACGGCATAATGGACAGAAGGTAGATCCGTAAGATCCCAACCAACACTTAGAACTTGTTTTAATCGGATCCTATCTGAAGCTGACAAGTACGACGCTGTCGTCGTAGCACCATCACTGACACATGCCAGTGCTCCAATCAGCACCACAAACGATACTCCAACTGAAAAAACTGAAATATTCGCATTATCTAACCAATTCCTATAATCGGCATATTCTTCAAGAGTAGAAGTTAAATACTAGACTAAATGTCAGAAAGTTCAAATCTATAACAAATTTGTACATTCTATCACTGATATCCTTTTATCAAACAAGGGATCTTAGGAAACATTACATACCTATTTTCATTTTTTGTTAAGCAAATCAGATGCCGGGACACGTCGACTTCCAACCATCAGCAAACATCACTGATATTCAAACTTATACCAACATCGGCGAAATAAACATTAAAACATTTTATCGTGCGAAAAATTAAAAAATGTCATCAGTACGTCTGGGGTTTTTTATTTTGAAATATTATTAAATTCTTATGTCTAATAAAGTACACTATAGCAGTCACAAAGAAGTATTAAGAATATTAAAGACGGACAAAAATTGCATTTTTATTGTGCACCACAGACAATACCAAGAAACCATGCTACCACCACATAGCTATCTCAATGCCAAACGTTGGCAACGCATGTGGAGTATGACGTTACATATTGTGCTGCTATCTATTGACAACGCTGACCACCCACCCCCATCTAGTGCCGAGGTTAAGAATGAGTAGAAGCTACACTTTCCTCCCCCCCCAAGTGCCTACATGGCGTATAGTGGGACAACTTTACTTTTGCCTTGCGACGGGCTTATTACTCGTCCAAGGAAAACCGATTAAGTAACCTCCAAAATGGGGAGGCCAAGACCCACACTAGGTTGTATTGCCACAGATGATGATCTATCGGCAACTGCAGTGAAACCACTTTAATAATGATCTGGCGGTAACAGTGTGCATTAGACCATGGTAGCAGACAATACCAATAGGTCAGTAGCTAACATTGACTAACATCGAATTCGCTCAAACCATCACACACAGCGCGCACCAGCCCCCCCACATAACACAGAAAGTAAAAACAAAGATGTCCCACTATATGGCTTGTAGGCACTTGGGGGAGAGTAAGTATGGCTCCTACTCATTCTTAACCTCAACACTAGATAAGGGGTGAGTGGTCAGGTTCAAACTGCAGCAAAACAGAAAGTTAATTTTACAACTCTGAAGATGACTGACTTCTGTGATATTGTGCTGTACTGTCTGGTAGAAAATGACTGACATTTCAGAAGTTCTTACTGACTCCATCATTAGGACATAAACTACTACAATGGTAGTATACGGACTACACTGACTTCTCCCCATTTCAATGCCTTTGTGCTTCACATATCAACACAATTACAAAAACTTCAGTCATAAACTGCCTTTGCTTATGCAGGAGTAAATTTATTACATAATATTATATAAATGATTGTTATGTGTAGAAGCTTCTAAATATGTCAGCAGCTGTATAGTACATCGAAAAACAGTGTTTAAGAGATCATTTAACGTGAGTGTCAAATGCACAAATTATACCAGCATAATATAAGAGTAAAATATTTTATACTCAATACATAGTAGCTTAATACTTTTTATGATGTGAACATGCACTACTGGAAAACATGTTCAAGAACCAAATCATTCCACTGCCTTACACTATATGAATGGAGTAAATTTATTGCTTGACATTTTAGATGTCACCAGTGTTATGGTATAAAAATAGTAGACATGCAAAATAAAGAATTCAACACCTATATTGAATCTACATTACACAAACTGTCTTAATATTTCTTTTGTTAAAATGTTTATACTAACCATCATCTATGGATGATGACAGTGCAAATTCATGCATGCTTAAAGACACAATATGAATCATACTGTCAATACACACAGCCAGACATCTGGCTATCCACAGAATGTCTAGTTCACATTTAACTTCATTTGTATTTGCATTAAATTGTCACTTGATGCATAATGACATCTTTTAATGAATGATTCTAAAGACATTCTCTTTTATGCAACAAAACTATTTTTATAATTTTATGTTGCTATAATTTTGTGATTGGCAAAATTCCATGTTAAATACATTGTCATATATTGATAAAACAAATATCATTATAATATATAAAATTGTCACAATCTTCATGGCTGAGAATAACATATGACTGTACAGAAAAATTCTACTTATATGATTATATTCAAACATCCACTGAGAATGATTTGAAAGTAGACTGGATGCTGAATCCAGTAACACAGTTACTTGTCTGTAATTTTATATATAAATGTCTAAATATATGTTTGATGAGCAGAGAAAATAGTATTCCCATACAGAATATTAACCACACATAATCTTGTATAAAATGCTTCCATCAAATTTAAATGTAAAGATTCTACACATAATGGATAGAATCAGGAACAGAGAAGAACCTCCATGTAAAAGTGAATTTATGGCTAACCCAGTACTTGGCTGCTATTTTAATTTGATTACTGCCAATCATTATGTTCAGCATAACATGTTGATAATCTTTTCACTGCTTGAATTTTTATGCCTCCTTAAACATTATTCTGGAAAAGCTACAAAAAGTATTCACCAAAAAAACTGAGAGTTGAGAGTTTAATGTCTGAAATGATGAAAATACTATACAGTATAATCCAGAAGAAAGCAAAATGAACTAATACAAAACCTTATTCACATTATGTCACACAACAAAACATACAGCTTTTCATTCTAGTGAAGATGCAGTCCCTTAAACCAGGATGGTCCAACTTTTTTCCTCGCTCAGGCCAGAATAGTTTTCCTGTTGGACCCAAGGGCCAAGAAACCCCTACTGTCACTATTTTTGCATTGTCGTTATCTTTAATAATACTTATTCAGAAATGACAAATTACCATTGCATATGCTGAAATATAAATTTTATTTAAATGTGCACAAACTACTACAGACTTGTATATTATTTTAAATTTGCTCCTGCAACAATTATTTTTAATAAATTGGATGTACCAACTAGTAAAAAATAACAAATACTTTCGCAGGCAGTTGGACCATGCTGCCTTAAACAATCACAATCCAGCATGTCCTTACCCATTTATTTAATAACACTGCCATAGTTCAATTTCAACTTTCCACTCTTCAAGCACAGTTTATTATATTTTTCAAACTATAATGGTCCCAGTATTAAAATGTTACAATGTGAATTAAAAGTATTGATTAATATTTTTTTCTGGTAAGTAAAATTTTTTTGTTGAATTTAATGTCTTAAAATAAACTCAACTATATAGTTTCTTGATGTCAAGTCTTTTTCAGCATTTTTTTATGAAAAACATTTTGTTTTTATTTCTTAGTTGTATCACATACAGTGCCAATATTACACCAGTAAAAGAGCTTTGGTTATAAACACAGCTCAAGCCACTTAAAACATATATTCATATTCACATTAATATCTGTTTTACAATTTCATGAAAGAGAAAATTCAAAAACCTTTAGCTCTCACAGTTGACTGTTTATGATATTTAATACAGTAATACAGAGTGCAGAATTTTAGATCACAAATTTATTTGTAGGATTTGAGTTTTCACGGCGATAAGTCCAAAGATGGCTATCTACTGGATTGTAGTGCCATGTAGTCTGGTAGAAGTTTACCAACATTTCAATGCAGCAAGAACCTCTGAAATATTGGTAAACTTCTATCAGACTATATGGTGCTACAATCCAGAAAACAGCCATCTTCACAAGTCTGATTATAACTAATACCACTTCAAATAAAAACCCTGCACTTGGAATTGAAGTGGAACATAATATTTTTCTAGAAGAGTTTATGGAACACTTGTGTTATGTCCTAAAATTTTATTTCACTTCTGAAATACAAATATATGCACTGTGTTGTACAACTGATCCAAATGATTAAGCAAATGAAAAGTCCTGCAACCAACCAAAAATTGTTGTTGCTAGCACAATGGTTTTTTAATACTGAATGTAATATTTAGATTTTTGTCACATCAATACAATACAGACTGACATTTCAGAGACAGTCTCCATCAGGACAGACTGTTATGTTGGTCTCTGATGACAAAAAGCGTCTTCAAAAATTTAAATGTGGCTTATCACCGTGTATGAGGCTTTGCTATTTTTGGTTTGTGGTAACTATTCAGCTTATGAACATTTACTGAGTGAGAATGGGGGATTTAAACATCCTACTGTAGGGCTGCTGGACAGACTCTAATTCTGGGTTTTAATGGTTTAGCCATTTCCTAGTGTGACACAAGACCAGCTGGACTGCACAGAAACTGTGATGCAAGAATTATAATGGTTAAAGTTCAACGAAAATTAAATAATTGATCTGCATGTTAAACAAGCTAATTCTCTAAGGTGGATCAAATAATATAAATAACAAATGGAAAGGTTTTACACTTATTTGGTGGCAGTTTTATTGAAATTAATTAATTTCATCAACAATTTGTGCTGTTGACAAACTTTATTGGACTCCAGATTAAGCACACAGAAAAATATAATATTAATATAAGAATTATTTTCTGTCCCTATGTAAAATGTAGTTATTTACAAAAAATACTTGTAAAACAGATTAGGAATGAGACCAATTATACTGAATCAAAATATGTATTGATTAGACAGCACGTTTCCCAATACAAGTTTCCTTTAGTACATACATAGTAAGTACATATACCATTTTAAAAATCTCAAATTTACTTTATAAGGAATATTATATTCATGCTCCAAGAAGGGAATTCATTTCCTTTTCTCAGAAATATTCATATACACATACTTACATTATCAGGTTTCCCCTCTTTCAGTAACTTTATACAGAATTAACTATATTATTGGAAGAATTACATGATGACATCAATTTCTGGGAATTCATTACTATCTTCAGATCAGGATCTTGTCACTAATAGAATAATAACTCTTATTCCTTTACTCCCCTAACTCCTAAACACATTAACAGTAGTTTCCTCATCTGCAATTACAGCTTCTGCAATGACTGCTTTACAATGCACAAACAGCTGAAAAATCATAATTAATGCTCTTTATTATGTGCAGTGGACAGCAGTGTGAAAAATATTGAAATACAACCAAAGTAGTTTTCTTTTATAGATCAGATTCCATAAATGGAATAAGACCATGTGTAACTGGATTTCAGACTGCTCGTACGAACACAAGGAAGTAGATGATGCAATGGCAGTTTGCATTTACACCATCCATAAAACCATTTTCATTTATGATCTGAGATTGTCATGGTGGTGAAGATGTCAATGTTGGTCTTCTAGGTTTTAATCTCCTATGGACTTTTAGGCAGATATCAATTTTTCAGAACTTAATGCTGCCATCTTAGAGCTGAAGACAGAAGCAGTAAATTCCTCTGAAACATCATCTATCTACAAGTCATGCGTCAACATCAATCATCATATTCATTTACCTCATGTGTGTCCTGCTATGATCCAAATAGCTGAGTGGGTTTTTGCAAACTGGACAATCAGAATTCAGTTCTCAACATGAATAGGATTTTTACCTTTGCCATCACATTCAGACTGGTTCTGGGATCCACCAGCCTCTTGTCCAATTGGTAACCGAGCGAAACCGACCACTCACCTCAGTGTAGCGCATTACCCATTACTTCATGCCTTCATAGTGTGGTGATAAAGAAAAGGGACAGGTATAACATGAATATACTGCTCAGAGAAAATAAACAGTAAATATGTCTGCAGAAAGCTGTACATTAGCTCTATAAACTAAGAGAAATATCAGAACATAAAAGTCAAGTAATGGCTTTTCAGAGGACACAGTAAATTGCACCATATTTGAAAGATTTAAAAACATACAGCACAAAATTTGGGAAGTAATGAAGGATGAATACAATATTAAAATTTTATAGTCATGTCAGTACCAAGTTCATTGTATGGCAGTGACACCTGGATAATGTTAGATAGAAGTACACTTAGAGCAAGTGAAATGAGCTATAGATAGTTGTAGGAAGAAATGGGCAAACCACATACAAAGGATGGAAGTTAGAAAGAATATCTCAGCTGATTATGAAATGTAAACCTATGAGGGAAGAGAAATATTTGATGCCTGAAGAAAATATGGGAAGATCAACTGTACATGCAACAAGCATTAGTACTTAAAGTAATAAAGCACAGAAAATAATGTACTGATAATGTATTATATACTTCATACACTCAGTATAAAAATAGTGTTCCACATGTCACTTTACGTTCTTAAGCAGGCCACATAATACTGCGCTGTATTACAACAATCATCTGACTGGTAGGGTGAATTGCAAGGTATTCATCACTGATTTTGTCAGTGGAAGAGAAATAAACAGTAAAACAGAAGGAAAGGGAAGAGGCAGAATACTGATGATCATTTCACCCATGTTCAGTTTGTACCCCACAAAACCCAACAGATTAGAAGTGGGACCTAAGGAAGACAACCTGAAGTCTACTGAAATGGACATTGCCTGTTTGTACTTTTACGATCATAAATTCATTCCTAACTGCAAGCATCAACACAAGATTTTTTTGGAAGCAGTTAATGAAAACACCATTAATATTTAACAATATATTTACATCTGTGGGCAGAGGACAGGGTGCACAAGCAGGCTTTTGTGATAATGCTGATGAACCTCTGGGTTTAACACAAAGGTAAATTACTGATAGCTGAATAACTGCATACAAAAGACCCGTACCCCTCAATTAGGTAAGACCTTCATACAGTGGCAGCCTAGCAATCAAGTATGTTAAACTTCTGTAAGAATCCCCATAAACATATCTTGATGGTGTCACACTATAGGTGGAAGGATATTCAGTCTCCTTATAAAAATTACTTTATTTAATGATGTTAAGAACTCAAATTATATAGGTGTCACGCCTTGTAAGGGTTCAACAGTATGCTATACATAAAAACTACTGAATAATTAATTTTAATTTTCTTTAAATCACTCATGAACTGATGACCATTTTCTAGTTATCTGCAAACTATTCATTATTTTCTGACAATATTCTAGGAGCAGAATAAACCAAATTATTCCAAATTAAATACTATTTTTTAAGATGCTGAATTAATAACGTTTAACAAAACATTTGTTCTTATTTCTAAACTTTAACCACAAATTTACTTGTGAACCAAACCAATAAAAACCTAAGGTCCCGTATCTAAAATGAATGTAAATTTCTTATCAAGTCTACAAAGCACAATCATTTTGTGAAGCCATCACTCAACAAATTTATATGTAATAAAATTACATTTCTCAGATTCAGAGAATGTGAAATTTTATTCATTAATGGACTGCAAGGGTTAAAAACTATAATATGTGAACTTTAAATGCACAGAATATAACCAACCTGCACAGCAGTTATTAGATAAATTTTAGAGATGGAATAATGTAAACTGATGTCATTACTCTACACTGGGATCATAAAAAATAAGATAATATGGACCATAATAATACTGTTCAACTGATTATGACAACAACAATATAAAATTTAAAAACACAAATTTGTATTCAGCCAGCTAAAAAATTAAAATAAAAAAATATCAAGAGATGATAGGTATAATTTAGTCCAAATGGTAGTCCCTTCCAGCATGATTTTTTACTAGGCAGTTCTTTTTATGGCATCATCCTAAAAAAGCACATAACTTCTGTGGTCTAATGTTCATTTCCTGCATGAGACAGCATGTCATGCAATGCTTGACAGTGGACTACAAATTCTGCCTTTGTTCAGTGCTTTGTTTATAATTCCATGGTCCTATTTTCTGGCAATTTGGTTAATCATTTTCATCTATTTTCGTTTACATTTATTTATAACACAATACTTTTCTGTTAGAAATGAAAAAAGAAAAACATGTATGGAACAGCCATATTTTCAAAATATAGACATAAATATCAATGCTATTTGATTCAATTTCATAAATTATTTCTGGTCATGTAATTATTGTAATATACTGTATTATGCAAAGGAAATTATGATGTTTCACTACTCAAGATTTTTTAAGATTTATAAACCGTGTCATATTTGAAAGTGTTGAAAATTTATAATATTATAACAGGATCAGTGATAAATAAATGTGCTCAAGATCAAATCCTACTTAATAACTGTGTCCTACCCCTTCAGATTACTATCATAACAAGCCTCCTTGCCTGCATTCTGTAAATTAAATTATTGTCGGTAATGGATATGCTTTGTATCACCAAGTTCTTGCATATACCACAGAATCTTGGTAGTTTCAGTATGTTCTGTATTAATTACATGCAAAAACATCATAATTAAAGTGAAGTCAAGCCAAAGATGGAGGACTGTGATATGACTGCTCTCTCTACATGAAATTGAATGAATGATTATTTACTGACAGTACTGCAAATAACTGTGATGATAGAGAGAACAGAGTAATAATATGAATATATTAAATATTAGCAAAATAAAGGGTGAAAAATCACATCTTCAAACCACAAGGGGTAAGAAAAAGACGGTCGTTCTCGTTTTCTTAAGAAAATCTGTTTTTTCTTCAAAACCTTATGGAAGCCACAGGTATAAGAGGCAACCAGCAAGCCACTCCACAAAGAAGTGGCATACTGTCATTTGATACTTTCCATATCTAGCCTTCAAATATTTAAAATCATCATAAGATATCCATAAAACAATTTCTACAGAAATGGGAAGAAATTAGCGATAATTTTGTGCTAAACTGTTTTACAAAATGGCAGTGTTTGAAGAACAGTACTTAGCAGTTGGTTCAGGTACACATAGTATATTAATATTTAAATACATTGGTAAAATTATAGACAGTGACATTGCTGATCTGAATGTACAATCAGATGATAATGCACCATGAACACTGTAAATTTCTTGACAATAAAAAAAACCTGTTTGTACTTAACAAAAAACTCAAGTTTTTGTATAATTATCTATTCACTAGTTTTTCATTCATATATCTATACATATCAACACATTGTATTTTCTGCAAAATAAAATCTAACTCAAACTAAATGCTTGGTAGGCAGAAATAAGATAAGAAAAAAATGGCATGATGTTTATCACTTCTAACGTCATTTACAACACAAGTAAAATTACCAAATAGATCGAGTCCATGTTCTACTTCCTCACTTAAAGTGTAATGCAAACTGCCTGGAAACCATTTTATACAAGATTATATCACATGATTTTTCACATGTACTTAGCCTGCAAAGTATTGAAAATCATTCAGTTTCAGTGCTGTTCAGGATATTAAATCTAATGTTTATATCACTATCATATTCAATCTCAGGGCACAACAAATATATTGAATCACGTCCTGCATACTTCATAGAAAGATATTAACAGTTATATATATGCAAGCACAATTCTATAATAGCATTGTTTGAAGAATGCCCTACCCTTAATATTTACAGCCAAATACCAACACTTATTAAACAACAAGAACTATGAGATCAGTCAACCCAAATCTCACTTTCTGCACAAAATCTGGCATCATTATCACATGGCTACCAGTCAACAGAGATGCACATTTTCCATGGGCAACCATATATTTGCACTACATTCCAATCTTTAAAACACTCACTGCTATCTATGAAGAATCATCACTACCTTTATCACTGTTTCTACTTTTACTGCTTCTTGACCCACTAGCATACGACCTACTGGTGCTAGCAGCAGGTCTGTCCCTATTCCGTTCCCTCTCTCTGTGTTTCATCTCTCTCGTTCGTTCCCGCTGCTTTTCCTCAAACTCCTTAATATGTGAGTCCCACTCAGAACGAATATTAGCATCATAACGAGACGACTTCAAATCATCATCTGAGGCTGGTGGACCCCACCTTGTCCGGTGTGGGGGCCCATTCCTTCCACCACGAGGCCTTAAGTAGCCCCTTTGTGAATGAGGACCTCCACCACAACCACCAAATCTACCCCCTCCACCCCTCATGCCACCACGTGGATTGAATCGTCCTCGCATCGGAATTGGAACCTTCTTATCCCATGGTTCTCTTCTTTGCCCGCCATTAGAAGGTTCTCGTTTCTCAGAATCAGGGATGTCATCTTCCATTTCATGATATTTGCGCTTGTTTCCTAACATTGACACAGTATCTTCCACAGGTTTTGGTGTGGCTTTTCCTGCATTTCCTCCACCATACAGAACAGGAGGAGCTGATACATATGAAGAACTGAAACTGCTTCCTTGAGTGGCTCCAACATGAGAGGGTGGCCCCATGTTGTATGTTGAAGGTGGTGGGGGATTATAATGATGGGGTTGCATGTGGTATGGCACTGGATTAGTATGTCTGACAGGGTAGTTGACAGTTTGAGGTGGTATCTGATGTGGTACAAGTGGCTGTATTGCATGCGGTGGTGTAGGAGTCTGAGAGGAAGGGGGAGGGGGCGCATATGATGATGCGTAAGATGGGTATTCTTCATCTTCAAGACCTGGAGGTAGCGGCTGACCAGAAGGAAGAGATTTCACAGAAGTATGTGAGGGTTTAACAGGGGGTTGCAGTGATGGTGGTCCTGCTGATGCAGGTGGCACTGGGAAACTGTCTACTCCTGGAGGAAGAGGCTGCTGAAGTGTAGAATTCATCATTGCACTCTGTTTTTCTGCTACAGCTGTTGCTAATTCCATCTCCATGGCTTTTTTAATCAAATCATCATCTGACAAAGAGCTTAAAGTGGTTGTTGGTTTCATCATGTCTGTCTGTTTTTGACGTGGGTCTCTAGCAAGATTTGCTTCTGTCTTTGTTAATGGGGGATGGACTACAGGTGTTGAAAGTGATAACAGAGCTGGAACTACTGATGAAGCAGGATTCAGAAGACTTGCTTTTGTAGCTGTAGTACTGGATGTGAATGAAGACTGGGTTAGAGAAGAGACTGAACTTGAAGCATATGATCCTGGATCTGGTGAAGATGTTTCATCTTTTTGAGGTACATAATTTAGATCATCATTTTCTGACTTTGTTGATTTTAAGTCATCTGATGACCTTCCACTGGCATAATTTTGAACAATAGGATCTTCCTTAAGGTTGATTCCCTTACCAATACCTGTTGTCAATGAAGAACCATCTGATTCACGTCTCTTTATACTGGCAAGAATTTCACTAAGATTTGAAGGCAAAGATATGTTAGATGGTATAGCAGAAAGTACAGTAGTAGTAGGATCACTTGGTGCTCCAATAAATGGAATTGAGTCTGATGGTGGGGGAGTAAATGATCGAGATGGACTGTAAGCTTCATTTTCATCTTCAGTGTCCACATTAGCAGTAGATGCAGAGGCACATGGTTCATCTCCAGAGCCAATCAAGTAGCCATGCATAACTGTACTTGCCTGTAAAAAAAGGAACATCATTCATACTTCAATTTAAAATGAAAATTATAATGTGACACTGTCCACATTTCATTATGACCTTGCATTCCAGTGGGCAAACACATTGGACATGTGTGCTCTCCATGACCATGCATACACAAATACATACATTATTGTATTTTTCTGTTCTTTTTCTTTGGAAATGTAACTGAGTTAAACAAGTCAACAACTTACAGAAGAACAAAAGAAATAATTTATGTACCTGTATGGTTCTGAGATAGTATCTTACCATATGAGAAAAACTAATTAGAAACAAAAGTGCTAAGAAAAATATGTGAACCCAAGGCATGAAAGAAGCAGAAGAAGAATAAAGAAACATAACTGGAAAGAACAAGTATTTAAATGGAAAACCACGTGAACATTCCATCCTGGAAATTCATCTGGCAGCTAACAAACAACCAAAAATTTTTCAATAACCATCCAGCATATGTTCACAATAGCTCCATAGTCATCAAGAACAAATTACAAACTGTTATGAATATACGAGTTCTCCACATCTTTTAAAAAAGTGTCATATTTAACCTACCATCTTTATTTATATAGTCAAACTTATGGAATAATCAAGTCTATGAGTCTCGTATGTGTGTCCCTAACCCCAACAACTTTAAGTAAAATTTACAATTTTCAAGAGAATTAACATGAACATTAAACACATCTTTATTCCACCGTGCGTCTTAAGGAAACTGAAGTTTCAATACCTTATTAACATTTTAGTGAAATACACCAGAAAACCTAAGAAACCTAATTCTACTATAAGTAATGGCATGGAAGTTTAATCATACCTGCAATGATTCCACCCCAGTTACCCCAACTGCAGATACAACAGCAGAATCAGTTCCCACAATAGCACTACTGATACTCTGAATTTGCTGCTTCTGCTCTTCAATTTTTCGATTGAGTTCCTCCATTTTCCTCTGAAGTTCAGAAGGATTCTTTGGTGTAGCAAGCAGATTATCTTCACTAGATTCTCCAATGTCTTCATCCATTCCACCACCAGGGCTATATGGTGCATCATCATCATCCATAGAACTCAGATTGAATTTAGGTGTGTCTGAAGGAACAATGACACCAGGAATCAACTCTTCATCTCTTTTCTCCAAAATTTTCCCATCATGCCCAGTGTCCTGGTTTTGTTTACGTGATAATCTTGGATCTGTATTAGCACGAAACTTCTTTGCGCCAAACAACACACGTTTTGGTGAATGAGGTGGTGTGTAACCCTCAGATGCTACTAACTTAGGTGGGGGATTTGGTGGTGTCAGACTGCCAATATCATCCCCTGAACCAGGAAGTGGGGGTGTGTAACTTCTCTCTGTAGTCTCTAACACAGACGGGAGAGGTGGAGGGCGTTTCGGCACTTTGGCTATGTAAGTGAGTTCTGGAGCAAGTCTCTTTCGTCGAGCTCTGACTAGTATTCCAAGTAGCAAATGTGGTCTGTAATCTTCAAAACCAGGTCCATCTAATGGCAGTAAGACTTGTGGTACTGGATTATGGCTTGCAAGAGGCATAATATAGAAATCTTTAATCAATTTGGAAACATTTCCAACAACTCCCAAGCGATTTCTGGTATTAAGATATGTGTAAAGTGTGATGTATGGTATCTTCTCTTCATCATTTGCTGCTGTCAAACGTATTACTAATATTTCTTTGGTTCCAGACTTTTTCATTTTTGAGATATAGTCCCAAACTGTTTCAGGTATGATCCTGTTAAAAATCAGAAAAATATGGTTAGTGAACACAACCTTGAAACTACTATACACTAACATTTTTGTTACCTGCAGTGAATGTAGACTATGATATTTCAGTTATTCAAAATTCCACATGTTAAGTTTGATAAGTGCCAATGCAAAATTTTATTATCAAAATCTTTTAATTTTAAATACAATATTTTGAACTGAAATGTGTGAGGAAGAAAAACTGTACAAGTGTCTAACACTCACAACAGGGTGATTACTGGCTCATTAGCTTGCATACTGACAAACATATATTCATTAACAGGGAAGGTGTTAAGCAAATAAATATGACTGAGACAGTAGGTGAGATGGGTGGGGCATGTACAGATATGCTGGTTAAGAAACGTTAAGGGAAAGGTTCACTTGAGAAACCTCAGCATCGACGGGAGGAGTGTCTGATTTTTGGGATCGATAATGATGCTTTTCTACTGTATGATGTTGAATATTAAATGTTACTTCTACACCAAAGTTTGGATTTCACAGTAGCATAAAATTGTTCAACCAATTTAAAAATTATCAGCTGCTCAGGAAGACTCTATACCATGAAGATATGACCAATACAATACCATGCTATAAATAAAATGATTACACATACCTGCCAACTATGTCCACTGTGTCAGGAAGATCTTTGCACAGATTCTGTGAATCCCCAGACACAACCTGAACTGTGGTAAAAAACTTTGCTACATCTGGCATATTGACAAAACCCTTCCATACTGTCGCAGATGCCCCTGCACTCTTATCAATGTCCACAGTTCCCAAAGTTGAACTATCATCAATGTTATTGATGTCTGGAGTCTTGATTGTCACAGTGGAACTTGGTTCTCTGTCAGATAAATCACTGTCTTCTTCTACCTTAACCTGATCCAAAGAATCTACTTTAATTTGGTCTTCATTTTCTGTCTTTATGTCATTCTTCACACCTTGTTCAATTCTGCTATCAACTGCAACCTAGAAACAAGAGTAGCATGCAAGTTATAAGTGACCTAAATTGAAATGAAACTAAAACGTATACTCCAATAGAGTACATACATTTTCTGAATTTATTTCTGTGCAATTTTGAATACCTTATTCAGAATCATGTTCACTTACAGCAAATACAAATGCATTGCTGCAAAGATATTTGTCATTCAGACACCACTCTGTGAAGTTGGAAATTATTTTTTCTTGTACATCATTAAATGTTAACCACATCAAAAAAATGTTTAAATAAAAGTTATAGGTAAACTGTTTTGGAAGGGATATATATATATATATATATAAAGTTAAAGTTACATACAAAATAGGGGTTATATTGAGCCAATATGAACTTAAATTACATTCACCTAAAAAATATTTAATGCAGGACACCCCCTCCCCTTTCCAATATCAGATTTAATCAAAATAATTTAGCTGATACACACACACAAATAAGACATCCATGGTAACTGTTCATTTTATGCACTTTTTGCAACAACAACAAAAAAAAAGTGAAAAGGATTACAGCATGAAATCTGTTTGCAGTATACTTCACCCACGAAACCATCATTACGAGATATAGTAAGAAAGCCATGTTAATGAAATTATCAGCAAATTACTATACAATATCAGTCAAGAAATTCATCTTCATCTTACACAGAAAAGATGGTAAGACAAAGTCTGATGTACTGTGTAATTTACTTTTATAGAAAAGGACCATAGGGATATTGCACAGTGGCAATAAATAAATACATTAAGGGCAATTTCATACAAGAAAGCTTCTATCTGGTAATTTTGTACAGAACAGAGGGCCTAACGGTAAAATACATTTACATTAAAACTTCCTCCAAGTGCTTAATTAGCAAAATTCACATGACAAAATCCTTACCTTACTTTCTCCTTTGATACTTTTCTTTATATCTTCCTTTGTAAGCCGCATTTCATCTTTCTTCAATTCATCATCTCTTCGTTCCTTCCTGTTCCTGTCTCGTTCAGAAGAACCATGGTGATGGTGGTGATGCTTATTCTTACTACTAGACTTTCCCCGTTCTCCACTTCGCTTGCCATCTCGGTCACTTCGACCGGTGTCTCGACGACTTTCATGCCTGGTTCCATCCTTATCTTTAGAACGTTCCCTATCACGACTTCCCTTCTTTTTTTCATCACGTTTTAATTTTTCTCTATCTCTTGAACTTCGATCTTTTTCCTTTCTTTTCTCCTTATCTTTGCCTTCTTTTCCTTTATCTTTGATCTTTTCTCTGTCTTCTTCTAAGGTTGTATCTTCCACTGTCGAAGACACAGAATTGTTCAGAGCAGAAACTATATCTGGCACTGCAGATGCATCTACTAGCTCTGGAACATCAGTCTTCACACCCTCATCTGTTTCTATTACCTGTTCACCTTTGTGTGTTTTCATTACATATGTCTTTGATAGAGCCATCAAATCTAGTTCATTCTTTTTAATCATCTCTAACTGATGCTTTGCCTCCCTTTCACGCCACTGGGCCAACTCCTGTGAAGCCAATTCTTCAGGAGACAGTCGTACCAACTGAAAAGGAGTCACTGACTTATCAGCAATCTTTCGAAAAAGAGTCAAGTTCTTAGGATCTTTAATATTAAAAACAAGGCTCCTATATTTTGATTTGTATTTGATTCCTGTGTCTCTGAAGTATGTGTGCATTTCCTCCTCAATATTAAGTGCTATTTTCTGAATATCCTCTTCTCCCACAATAAGATCTGTGCATTCTTGTATTCGACTCTGAAGAAGTTCTTGTAGCGTTTTACGGACATTAATTCTGATTGGTTCTGGACCTGGAGGTTTTTCCTCTTCCTTCCTTGGAGCTTCTGTTGATGATGTTGATGAAGTGCGTTTAACCTCAACTTTCTTTACTACTACAGGTGTCTGACTCTTAGCAACCGTATTTTCCTTAACTGTAGAAGTTGCTGCAACTTTGGAAATTGCAGGGGTCTGCACTGGTTTCCCTCCCTGTGCTACATTTGTAACATTTGATGTAGATTTGTTTATAGTCTTTGCAGTTCCAGTTGGGGACTTCACTCCCTGACCAACTTTTGCAACACTCTTTGTAGATACCTCTCGTGCAGTAATTACAGTTGGAGTCAATACTGCTGGTTTATGGACTCGACTCACTAAAGGAACTACCTGAGGCTTTGTTGGTGATACTGCACCTGCTGCAGGTTTCGGATGGATGGTGACAGATTTGGACTGAATTGTAACAACCTTTGGTTGCATATAAAGTGATTTTGTATTTTGAACTTGCTTTTGTTGTGTAGCTACTTTCTGATTGTAAAACTTGGTTGTTGGCAAAACTCCTGGCCGAACAACTTCAAACGTTGGATTATCTTTCAACCAGGTCTTCAAGTTCCCTGCTGTAGGAGCATTTGGACCTGAAACATTGTGAGACAAAACAATTCCTATAGTTAGCAAGTACTACATTTATAGGGTTTGAAAGTAGTCACCTGTTGACCTGAAGTGAATTTATTTTGAAAATGTGAGCATATATTCATTACATCTGTTCATATTAATGGATCATTAACATAATCATAGAAAAAATATATTTTATAAAAACCTATAAATGTGTAGTAGAATATATTCATGTTTTAGATTTTAATTTATAAAGTTCTGTACAAACAAAAGGCACCATGAGTTTTCCATAATTTCATAACAAAAACACAATATTTTTTCAACAGCTTTCAATTCTTATTACCTACTTCTATTAATTCCATTTCTGTACTATGAAATAACTTTGTAAATAGAATTTATTTTATAAACATATGATAAAAACAGGTTCTACTATCTATCCTAAAAAATTGACAATTCCAGAACTTTAACTATAGATAGCATATTTCTAGAGCCCTGACTAGTAGATCAAATGGAAGTCACAATGAAACTGGAGCAGTGATGCATGTAGCCCATCATAAGAAGACCAAAATAAGATGCAAGAGAAACTTTCTCACATATTTTAATGAAAGTGTTTTTGGAGTAATTCAGATTAACATAAACATACAAATTTACCTGCCAAAAGTCTTCCTGTTTTTCTTTCAAATACAATGACTCGGGCATCAGGTTTGGCCCTTGGAATCTGTGCTGAAGCACCAGCAGCTACATTTCCAGAGGCTGCCAAATGTTGCCGCAACTGCTGTTCATTCTGTCCATGAGGTGCTGACAACTGGTGTTGGTTATGGCCCATTTGTGCAGCAGCCAGTGTTCCAGCTGGTACATGCTTCTCTTTGTTGATTAGGCTGAGTGACTCCTGAGCATGTTTCAGAATGCATGAGTCACTGCAATAGATGCTGGATGGACGCGCTTCTTTCTTGCATACTATGCAGTACATAACTCCATCACTCACACTGCAAAATCAAGAGCATTCTCTGTTGGTCCATTCATTTAAGTGAGCGTTTACTACACTTGATGCATTCAACAGAAAGCAAAGATTAAAATTTATTATGTAATATCTAACGTATATGTGTGTGTTGTTAGAACTTTCAAGTGACAAAAACTCTTTTACAGAACAGTCATTTCCTAACAACATAAAGCAAGTACAGATTTGTTATCAGGATTGAGTGGCAACAGCCAGCCAAAAGTAGGCTGTCACTGGCAAGTAGATGGGACGTGTCAGAAAAGTGTAACTTAGAAAAAAGATGTGTTGTGTTAATGGTTTCTAGGTTGCACAGATTTTAATTTTCTTCCTTCATACACTTGTGATTTAAAATGCTATGTCTGTAACAACGACTGCCATGGATTATCAAATTCCATGCCCATACCTGCACAAACACTGATATTACATCACTGCAGAGGGCCAAGCCATGATGATATATCACAGAAAAAGACACTACCAATAATTAACTTGCCTTAGTCTTAAATCAGTGTTTTTTTCCCCTGCAAAGAAATGGGACTGAGATATGAGAAGGGGCGTGAAAGAATGTGTCCAAGTTATGTGACAAAATATTTCATCATTTCAAATACTCAAACAATCAATAGTAAATTTCATATGTGACCACAGAATGTCCTTTTTTAGAAACAATTCTTATACTGCTTTATGAAAGAGAGTGACAGTATGATACATATTCCACTACAAAAGTCCAATGTTGACCCTTTTCACTACTACAATTTGAATTTGAAAATCAACTGAAAATGGACTACTCCCCATCGTAACTGAAGAATTATGATGCAATAAAAAACCAAGTACAGTAAAGTCCCAATTATCCAACCTAAGGACAGACATATAATTGAAAATGCCAGATAATACAAAGACTAATGTAACAGACAAGGGTAAATAACAACTCAATTTACAACACTATTAAATTATGAAGAAAACACAATGTGGCATCAAATGAAGACATCTCACAAAAAAAACAGTATTTAGTATAATGTAAATTTGCAAATGAAAGCATTACAATTTAGTTTTATAATCTTTCTTCCATTTCCCTTTCCTTTCAGCCATTATTATTTTAAATATGCGTCACTAACAGCCTTATTTTAAAAGCAATATTCAACAATTCACTTTGAAATTCAATTTGATCAGCTAAAACCAATTGTCAGGAATTCTTTCGTTCTTGTATAAAAATCCAGCGGGCAAATACAGTGACGGAAAAGATCCAAGTAAGCTTAGGGTATTGCTCTACTCCTTCCTTCCTTTCTTAATTGCCATATTTGCATTTTAAAAATTAATCATAATTTTCAAATTTCTGAAACAAAACAGATAACTTCAAACATGTGAACCATGAAGCTAAGTCATGCATTTGACCAATAAGCAAGTTGATCTTATACTAAATTAAATAAAACTGTTTTCAATTTTTCTGAATCTCCTTCACAAAAATCAATAAATATGTAACTAAATATTATCCAGTACAAGGATACAAGTGATTGTCTAATTCAAGTTCCTGTAATTCCTTATTATCCCGACACCTAAACTGTTACCCCACACTCAATTATTCCGTGATATCATTGTAACAAAAGTTACATTTTATATTCAGTGTGCAATATAACCTCAGCATCAGATCCATAAATTATTCACACAACAATTTTGTCAGGCTGGAAGTCTAACATCCAAATAGGTTAAGTTAGGATTGGTGACCCATATCTGTTAATAACTACGCACAATATTAGGTGATACTTATAAATCAAGAGCTTATGTTTATCAAAATCATTTCTAATATTCACTATACTTCTTAGATAATAAACTACATCAGCATATATAATAATGCTACATTTAAGAAGTTATTTAGTTCAATATTTTATTTTCCGTCTATACACAAACTTAAAATAATGTTGTTTAAAATTACTTAAAATTATAACATTCTCAGTAGATACTGTATCTTGTTACATTTTTTGTATTGACGACATGTTTCAATGTGTATTACATCATCATCAGGTCTATCAATTTTAAAAACTGTTGTACATCTTGCGTTGCGTATATTGATTTGTTTGGTTTTAAGTTTTGTCTCTCCTTTAAATTTGGAGGTTGTGCTTGGATGTTTTATATCGGGTTGTAAGTGATGTGTTGTGTGTACGATATTAAGAGACCGTAGGCGCAGCCTACCGTCTCTTAAAATCAAACAAATCAATATAAGCAACGCAAGATGTACAACAGTTTTTAAAATTGATAGACCTGATGATGATGTAATACACATCGAAACATGTCGTCAATACAAAAAATGTAACAAGATACAGTATCTACTGAGAATGTTATAATTTTAAGTAATTTTAAACAACATTATTTTAAGTTTGTGTATAGACGGAAAATAAAATATTGTATCAATAAAACACAAACATGACGCAATTAAGATACAAATTATTTAGTTAATTTCACAATTTATGATAGGTTAGAAATAGCACGGATGCATATAGCCTACTGGTCTTTCTACCAGTTTATATAACAGTACTATAATGACAATATGGATATTGTGGTTAGTACTTTAATGAATTACTTCTAACACATGAATAGCATTTATTATAATTTTTAACTTATTTCCATTCTAGTGAAAACTGGGAAATTACACTTCCGCATTGCAGGTATTTAAGGTTTACGTGTACAAAGCACAGGTTAATAAAAGATCAATTAATCAGAATTCACTGGAAGAATCTCACTTTAATCTGCAATAATGAATAAATGTAAAGATTACCACAATATGAAAATTTCAAAAAACATTTTATTACACTTATAAATATAAAATTTAAGACATAAGCAAAGTCCAGAAATCACTAGTACCAGGGAAAAGGTTAACAAGTCCTAATAGTTCAGGAAACAAAACAAATTTTCAGAAAGTAAGATTTTGGGTTCTCACAGTGGCAAGTATTAAGATGGCCATTTTCTGTACTGCATCATGTAGTCTCACAGAAGTTGACCAACATTTCAGAGGTACTTCTTGCCTAATAAAGATACCAGTAATAATTAGGTTTGCAGATTACTTCTTCTGTAAAGGACACACACAAGATCCTCAGAAATTCCACTGGTATTTTACTGCCCCCTGATTATGAAAAGGTATGAACTACTCCAATAGATTACTGTACAGACTTCTTAAATTAAAAATTCATGCTAGCTAACATCTATTTTGTCAATAATGGTTAAGTGGGGATTAAGGAAAGTAAAATTTAGATTGCAGTCTTCTGGGTTATGACCTAAAAGACTATGTTGAGTCAGTCCAGAAGGACTACAATCCCAATGATTATGTATGAAAAGTTAACCTCAGGGTTGCTTCAGTTTGAAAGCCACACAAATTGAAGCTCTTCTGTGCAGGTAACAGTATCACTTACAGCTATTATCTGTGGCATGAAAAGACTATTTTCCACTTCTAAAGACTTGAAGGGTTTAACAGAAAATGTTCTGCTATTTTGGCACTTAAAAATATGAAGCTCACTCCTTTTCTCAGAATGAATTTTAGTTTGTCTGAGTCCCTTTTAGAGAAACTGTCTCAACTGCCTAGTCATAAATGCATTCACAATCCAGTGGATAGATTTACTAACCACAATAAAAAGTTCTAAGGTTAGTACTTTGAATGGGACAGCAATTTCACACTGCAAAAGAAACTAAGTGGTAACTAAAGTCACTGTGAAATGATCAACATAATTTCTTACACATGTTAATAAGAAATACAAATATGATCAAAATTGGCAACTTCTAGCATAAACCCCAATTATAAATTTCATCTAAGGCCAACTTTAATAGTAAAATTGTGCAGATCAATAGATACAACCTCTCATTATGCATTCATTTTATGTTTTTCCTGTTGTGTATTAAACATTTATTTGCAGTACACAAGCACAAACATACCAAAATCTTTCCAATTATTACCTCATCCTTTTCTAAGAACTTTACGCTGTAAATAATTCATTTAAAAGTTGTCAGTGGAACCACAGTTCCAGAGAATTTGACGTAAATACGTCTATACGGAAAGGAAGTTTATATATTGGATTTATTCTAAATATTTCCTTTATACATGCTTTACAATTGAGATAAGTTTGATTAAAACATTGCTTATTCAACTTGAATTAGTTACGCTTAAGATGGGTCTGTGGTAGCTGAATGTAATGTAAGGTAAGGTGCCCATTGTTGACGGCAACAATGCCAAGTAAACAGACGACGTAGGTAACAATAATGCCATTGTTGTTTGTAAACCATTGTTACACTTTTTCGTTCCACTTTTTTGCCGAATGACCATTCCTCATAGACGTATTTACGTCAAAAAGTTGTTCCTGTGATAAGCGCACGTGCATTCTTCAACTCTGCACTACATGGATGTGACAGTTCAAAATTATGCTTGGGAGAAGGGACCCAGGTCCTCATTAGTCAGGAAGCTAAGTTTAGTACACAACAATGAAAAGCCAACTGACTAGTGAAGTCCAATGTTTCTGAAGATGGTGCAAAAAATGCATATAATTATTCTTAGCTAAACACTAGCTCAACTAAGGCCACCACTCACCTGAATATGGAAAGAACCAGTTCCTAACACATAATGGTTTTATTTAATATAAGAACACTTGGATGAGAGATGAAATTCTAAACAATGACTGACTAGTTTCACTTTCTAATTTCACTGATCAGATACACTTTTTAATATTTTGGCTCATCAATGACATGTGGTAAGTCTTGTTTCAAATAGCAATTATAATGATGTGTAGAAATACACAAATTTACTTACATATCTTCTACCATCTTTGTCCACTTACTACTGTTCTAGAATACTGTTAGGAAATGAACAGGAAATATGAAGTCCAGAATTATTGTATGAAGTGACATGATCAGAAATAAGCATTTTCATGGTCAGTACTTATTCTTAAGTAATACGAAAGCCATACAACAATTTCTTCCAAATCTACTTTACCTGCAGATTGTTCAAAATAAAAAGCATATTTTAAATTCATATGACAGAGATGTAAATCACACTGCTTCCAATATTATCCATAACACAGCAAACAATTCAAAATAAAGAATGCTCAGACTTGTTCATACATGGTCTGTAATATTTACTTAAGCAAGAGGCAGGCAGGAATGAAGGGCACAAGATGAACACGCATGTATCCGATTTACATGGGCGTTTCATCCTGGAACATGTCACATGAATTGAAGATGTATTTATTCCTCCCAGATGAAAGAAAAAGGTTACATTTCTGAATTAATATTTTTCAATGGCAAACTTGTTGAGTATGACTTATTTCGGTAACATAAAAGTGAAATAACATTGTTAATGGCATAAATGCAGTCATACGGTATTAATTAAATTCTACGTACCAGTATTGATGCGCACATATATGCCAGCCTCCAAGATGGTCAACCTCCAAAATGAGCCAGAGATATAAAAAGCACCAAAAAATTCAGAGGAAAGAGATAATTTGGGATACATGGCCGTGCAATGAGGACGATATAGAAATTGGGCTTGAAGGTGGGAAATAAATTGAACGCCTCAAGAACAAACAAAAACTTTATTTATCGCCAGCCACATTTTGATGAGGGCAATTAGAAGGATATTTCAATTCGAAACTAACTCCATACGACTAAAACATAATTATGTGCGTTCACAAACAATCTTCTTAATCCTGTCTCATCGGAAAGTTTCAAGACTGGGCGTATAAAAACCCGTACACTTATCTCATGTATTAAATTCATCCATCACCCTCGAAGTAGTTCCCCTGGGAGTGAACACAACGATCCCAGCGCCGCTGCCAAGCCTGGAAGCATCCCTGGAAATCTTTCTTTGTCAGCCTGTCAAGCACCATCTGCGATTCTGCCTGAATCTCTTCTATCGTCTCAAATCTCCTTCCCTTTAGCTGAATTTTCATCTTTGGGAAGAGGAAGAAGTCACACGGAGCTAAATCCGGCGAATAAGGAGGGTGCGGGATGACGGCCATGGTGTTTGAGGCCAAAAACTGCCGAACTTTGAGGGCGGTGTGCGCTGGCGCGTTGTCATGATGCGTCGCATGTGGATTTCTTCCTTTAGAATCAGCTGACAGGTCCCATAGCCTATCCCAACAATGTCGCATTAGTCGTTGATGGTACGACGTCGATCTTCGTAACTTTTTCGGGCGTTGTGCTCGAAGATGGTCGTCCAGAACGCTCGTCATCATCGACAGAGGTTCGGCCGGCCCTTTTTAAAACGTGAATGCCACACAAAAGTTTGCGGACTCCCCAAATGTTTGCTTTAGCATTTCATAGGTTTCCGTAGCGGTTTTGGCGAGTCTTTGGCAAAATTTGATGCACACGCCATTCCTGAAATCGCAGGAGGGTCGGTGTAATGCACTACCAAAACGCCCGTAACTAAGAAACAAATGCTAATTCGATGATGCCGGCTGGCACACTGATTCACTATGAATGTAGGCCGCACCCCCTAGCGGCAGAAGCTCGTACTACATCCGGTTCGCCCTCTATTGACACAGTCTTGAAACTTTCCGATCGCACCTCGTATGTGGGGGGACAGCGTAAAAATATAAAATTAACTATTGTTTATTAACTTCTGAAGCTGTGGTCTTGTAGGTGATTACTAACATTTCGGTAGCAATCTAAAAGAAAGACTACATAATGCCACAACAAAGAATACCACAATCCTCACTTTTACTGCTTTTAAAAACTAAAACATCATGCAGAGATGAAAACCACACATGCAAAAAATACCTAACTTTACTTCTTTTAGGATGACATTTCTAATACCAATAAACCATCACAATTTTTTATGTACCGGGTATACACCAGTATTAAAAGGTTATCTATGTAAGGATATTAAAGAGCCAAAACAAGTTTTAAAATTGTTGATACAATACTGAGATGTTTGGCATTATATACTCATAACATGCTACTGAACCTAGTAAGTGGTCATATAGGACAAAGTCTTTCCACATTTTGGATCTACATAAAGGCTAACTGCTCAAAGAGCTGATTTTTGTCACTTGTAGTAAACAGAAAGCATCACTTGTGCCTACAAAAGTAATAGTGAAGGAAGAAAAAACATATGCTTATACTAGTTAGAAACTGGTGAAATTAAGACAAAATACAATATGATGAGAGGAAAAACAACACAACACAAGTTAATGCTCATTTCAATAATTATTTTTAGATCTGATATATAATAAATGGCATTAACATGAAAGATATGAAACAATATTAAAAACTAATGAGCAGAGAACATGTTATAATTAACCACTCATTAGAAACCTCAACACTCATTGGAAACCTCTATGAAAATAACTTTTACTAAATAAAAAAATTTAAACTTGTATATCACAGAATAATAATAAATAATAATATATAATAAATATGATAGAATGAAAGAAGCATTTTTACTGTCTCATCAATGCTTTCGTGCAACTCCTGAAATCTTATATGGAGATCAGAATAGCCTATTCCTACAGTATAATACCCTACTGTTCTGCAAGATTTGAAGAGCTGGAGAAACAGTTCTAACATCAAAAGCACAGTTGTGATATATTACTGAGCGAGAGCTCGCCTGGCTATCCCTGAGTTACATTTCTTATTAAAGGTTACAAAGAGTTGCATAATACTGTAATTTCCCCTTAATAAAACCAGGCACTTTCTTTTCATCAGACATTTTTCCTGGTTAGTTGATACATTACTTCCTGCTCAGTTTTCCCTTACTTTTGATCCTTGGTAGGTATAATCCATACTCATAATTGTCAAACCTGTCAGTTACATCTTAGTGGTTCTGACAATGATGTGTTGCAAAAGCTTGAAGGTTATTTTGAACGTTGTTTATCTTGGTTATTTGTTCAAAAAACACACAATATGTTATGTTTTGGAGTCTACTGAAGTCTACCACTGTGTGTTTATCAGAAAAAATCATTATCTATTTACTGGAAGGGACTGAGTAAAACTACAAAAGAACTGTCAAGACAGCCAACCATTAGGCGAAGAATCAAATCTGTGACCTAAATACAAATAGCAGAAAACACATGATCAAGTCCCTACCTTGAAGTCTTACTTTCAGACATCAAATATTTCAATCCAGCAAAGACTCAATTACGAAATAAGTGGTACATACAACAATGGACAGAAAGCATGTCAGATATTAGGACAAAAGTGAAATTATGCGGCCAAGTTAAAAGCTGTTGTAGATAATGTAATAAACTAATCTGGTGTATACTGCAAGAACACAGGTAAATTAGGAATTACTTTAAGAGACCAGGACCTAGTCATGTGAGTTTGATGCTTCTAAAGATTATCATGAACATGCAAGGATTTGGGAGATGACAGTCAAGGCCAAATCAAAAGTATTATCCAAACACTCCCCTGGCAATGTGGGGAGGAGATGCATGGGAAGACAGAATGGATTATACATAGACACAAACTAATTCCAAGCATAGAACATTTAGCTCCAATGTATAGTGGACAAAAGTAAAGAGAATTACCAAACAGCACACAGTAAAAACTGCATCTTGACTGTCCAGTGAAATATATAAACCTATTTTAAGTTTACATATGTCCTTAACCTGGTGACATTCTTCAGATATCCACCTCACCTAGCTTGTTTCTGCGCTGTTGAGGTTACAATTTCCTCAATGTTGGCAAGCTCCTTGGGATCCTTCTGTGTTTCTTTCTGACTCTCTTTCTGTACATCTTTATGATGACTTCCTTTGGCAACAGACTTTTTTACATCCTTCTCTTTGACTGCTCTGCTCTGCTTCTTTGCTTCATGTTCTTTTCCTTCACCTTCCTTCTTCTTGTTACAGTTTGGACAGCACCATTCTAAACCATTTTCCTCCATCTGTTTACCTGCATAATAATTCCAACAATTTGTTACCACTGTTAAACAACTTACATGCTTATTATAAAGCAACTTCATTATAACATCAAGCAGAGCTGTAGAAATTCATGTAACACCCAACAGCCACTTAACACTTGCCACCATCCCAGAAGCAAATTTTATAGAAAAATAATGTTATTAGTTCATAATTATGATTCCTCTTTGTTCCTTCTCCATTACCACTTATATTCCCCAGACACATTATATTTACTTAATACCACATAACTGTTAGAACTTTTGGCATTTCTGACGCCTATCAATTTAACATTACAAACACGTGGAATTAGAGAGAATAACAAGAATATGTATCTCTTGGGATTACTAATCATTTGTTTGCCACAAATAGGTACAACTACTACTAATTTTAAAAATAAAACCTGGAAAGTTTAACATCAATTACATATAAAAATTCAATATTAGCACTAACATTGTACCTTAAATCAGTTCTTAAAAATGGTCACAAAAGATAACTCTGCATCCATAAACTAAGCAACATATGAAAACTATGGCACTTCTTCAATTCCTGTATCCTACAGAGTATCAATATGACAATACTACTTCCAAAGACAGTGTTCCCCATTCTGTTCTGCTGTACTGGCAATATGGAATACCTAATGCACATTGCAACATTACAAACTTTAATTTTAACCAGCTCAAATCTAATGGCTCTAAAATTCAGAAATGGAGAAAGTAATGCAAATCTAATTTTTTTAATATTTCATGCACTTCCATTTGATATTAAATACAAAAAAATTCAATGACAATCCAATTTTCATATATTAACATCATAGAAAACTTTACAGTATACTCAGCTGCTCAGAAATTCCCTGCTTTTATACAGTCCAAAAGCTTGTTCACTCCTTCTTGTCTTATTTCTCCAAGTTAAGCCTTCAAGCCAGTATTTAAATATCAAATAAGCCAACAATATGGTGGCATTCAAATGGCTCGTCAGTAAGAAATTTTCAACATATGAATTGTAAAGTTTTTCCACTTCCAATCACTCTGAAATCATGGTCATTTCAATAGCAAGTTGCTCACTAACTCATTTTCTCCATCACTCCCAAATATATGCTTCACTTTCCTCACTACCCCATGCTTTTCAACCACAACACTATTTTCCTCTTTATCAATATTTAATCCAATCCCACTATCACAAATTCTACGTTTCTGTTTGCAGGTTCCTGTAAGGTAATAAGTTTATGTACATGCACTAACGCATGTGTGCACACAATAATATGAGGTCTGACATGCTAAGAAGATAAAATGTATTTACTGTGACATCACACATGAAAAGCTGAAAACCACTACAATATTATACATCCAATTAGCATACACAAATGATAGTTATTATGTGACATTATGCATCTTTCTTGAGGCAAACAAAAGGAAATATAATGTGAATGCTTAGATAAGTGTCCAGGAAACATACCCATGCTTTTGGTGACACCAACACACTTTCCATGAAACCAGTCCTCACAGGAGTCACAACAAATCATGAAACGATTATTGTGTGGTTTCTTGCAGATGCACCAAAGTCTATCTGGATCATCTTCAGAATTCCAGCTTTCATCAGAACTTTCTGCATCTGAATCATCATCATCCTCAACATCTTTGGTTTCAACTTCTGATAATCGGCTCCTATAATACAATATCAACGAAAGAAAGCAGATTCTTAATATCTGTGGACTGAGATTAATGAAATTTTAATCTGAACAGTAAATTCCATGCTTTAATGATCATTTTCTGTAGAAATATGTCAAGACACTTTTACACTTTATGAGATAAGGTTAAATCACAACCTTAAACTCTCGCTGATAAATAGAGAAACAAAGCAAATAAAAAATACTTTTAATCCTGGCAACTTTATGTACAAAGAACTCTGGTGCCTGGACATTTTTACATGTAACAAAACAATCATAAAAAAGCACATATACTCATTCACGGAATTTTAAAACTTAATGACTTAAAAGTAAAATACGAAATACTCATACTTGCAATATGCTGAAAATAAATGCAGTAACAAAGGGAAAAAAATAATAGTTTCTTGCATCATTATGAATAATACTAAAATGTTACAAACAAGAATAGTTATGAATACATGAACAGCAGTTATAAAAATCTGAGTGCACTTAATATATAGCATATTTTTTATACAGGCTGTCTACATTCTTCAGTTGGGGTTGTATAGTTTCAGTTCAAAATTGTAGTTACAATTGTTGGGGCTGCATGTATGGTTATATAAAAGTGTAGTTCATCATTCTAACCCAAAGCGGATGTAAAGTTTGAAGTACAGGGACATAAAAGAAATAATATTCTCCAGTTTCACCTTAAATCTAAATCAACTAAAAAATAAGAAATCTGAAAAAAAACATGTAAATGTTCCTTGCAAGGTACAAGGTAACATTATAAAATATGCAGACATGTGTTTTGTGTGGATATCTTCAAAGTATTTCACCACAAAGGACCACTGGTGCCCAAAATATCATACAAACTAAATAATCTGAAATAAATTAATCTGCTTTCTCACTCTGTTACACAATTTTATTTTACAAAGAGAACATACATTACATACATAAAGATTCAATGTGCTATGTAAGTCATACAGGGGAAATTCAGGAAATTCTGTTTTGAAATTGGTTTCTAACCTGTCTCCTTATTTTGAGAAAACTGAAGAAAGGAGCAAAAAATAATTGTATATCCACATTTACAGTTAATTTTACTACCATTATATAAAGTGCCAAAAGCTTCTGCTACTGTTACAAACTGTCAGAACCTCTCTTTTTTCAATTACAATACTTTCTCTATATTGTGTGAAAGAAAACAGGAACTGGTAACGGGTCATACTATGAATATATGACCACAACTGCAATGCGGAATGAACTTCATGTAGGCTATGTCACGTCTAACTCTAGTCTACTTGAAGGTTCATTTCTGCCAATACTGAAGCCCTCAAACGGACATGATTCTGAGCCAGTTCCATTAAATTTCCACTTTCACAACCTAATGTACATGCAAGTTATTTTGATATGTCTTTTTAGACGCCATTTGGTCTGTCTAGCCATGTCAAGGCAAACCAAACAGGCATTCTACTGACTGTTGAGAAAACACTCATAGTGTATGCTGTTACTGTAAATTATCTCCCTCTCCTTTACTTGATGTGGTTTTTTTGTTAAAACTGCTTATGCTGGTGACAGCCATTGCTGACATGTTACTGCAAATGGAGCAAATATTTCATACCACATTCAAACAAAAACCTTCTTGTGTTTCAACTCTCTTCCCCACTCATTCCTCATTTGGCTACCAAGATAACCTGAATGCACAATACTTCCTCAAAAACCATGCTAGGATATAACAATTTATGGCAAAAATCATACTTAAAATTTTAATGGACATAGCACATTAAATTTTATAAACAATAAAATTTAACTTTCATTATATTCTGTTTACCTTGCCTTTCCTTTAGCTTGCATACTCTTGTTCTCTTCAGACTTTCTTCTTTCCTTGACTTGAGTTTGCTGCTGTTTCTGAGAAACAGTTCTTGTGGCATCTTTCTTAGACTGAGCTTCCTGTAAATGTATCATAAACAAATATGAACTGTCATTCACACAAAGAAAAATTATAGTTTTCAAACTAAGAAAAAAAATGTTACAGATGCTAGTACTTCTTGCTCCATATATTTTTGGTCATATGCAAGTTATACTACAATATGCTACACCAGTTCATTTCCCATAAAATATAACAAACAACATAAAATCTGATTCAGAAGAAAAAAAACACTCTTTAATACAAGAAGTTGTTCAGATACATAACTCAGAATGTAAACATACCTGAACTCACCAAGCTGCACTGACACCTTCTTAACCATTTTAACTAATCTTAAAACAAAACATCTTAACCAATATTAACCTATTATTTTATCATTATTTGAAAAAATATAAGAAGAATGAATAAGTAATTGTCCCAGTGCAATGACTCTATTCTACAAGAAAAAGCATTTCATGACTCCAAATAGATGTGACATAAGGAATTAGAAGCAACTGTATTGAAGTCTAGACCAGTGGTATTCAACCTGGGGTACGTGAAGACATCTTAGGGGGTACGTGAAATTTTAAAAAAAATATATTTTTTTTAAAATTTCACGTACCCCCTAAGATGTCTTCACGTACCCCAGGTTGAATACCACTGGTCTAGACAATGCATAACAGATAATGCACATGCAGGAGTTAGCATTAAAATTGATAGGGCAAAGAGAGTAAGTTTAAATTTTCAGAAGGCATTTATCTATATTTGGGTTAACATGGTACACTGAAGCTGAAACTATCTCTCACTAATTAATTATTCACATAAACTTACAAAGCATGAGATTAACAAGAATGTACCTGCACATTTGAACTACGTCTACGTGTTGATCGAGTTACAGTCGCTGACTTTGCAGCAGCTGCAACTAATAAAGCAGAGGCAACTTCAGATGATGACTCTTCAACATCTGTACCTGAAACTGGCTCTTCAGGGCTGGAATCTGAATTCTGTAAAATGAATGAGTTACATACATAATTTAAGAATTTTGAATAAATGAACAACTTCCGGGTGTTTACAAAATGAGTAATAAAGCTAATACATCACCTTGAACATGTTAGAAGCATAAGAATACCTAGACCAACTCTGGAATTGCAAGTGAAAGGCTAAAAATCCAAAGGATGAACCAGATCAAGATGACTCACTCAAGTAACTGATAGTTCAAAAGCAAAGGAAAACCATGCATTGAGGCAGATTATATATTTGGATCTTTTCATTCATCAACTCAACATGGTTTAAAAAGTCTAATATATGAGTGTGAGTTCTCTACATAACACACACGTGGACTGAACCTCTTTACTAACATCCAATATATTTTCTTCTTCTTTATATGTTTTTGTCCAATAAATTATAACCATCATCACAGTTCAGATACTAGTGGGGTGGTGGAAAGAAGAATAAAAAAGTACTATTATTTAACAGTGTAGAGTATGCATGCAGTATGAATTTCAGATTTGTGACTTGTATCATAAAAATAGGACTGTACTGTCAAACATTTTTATCCTGAAGTAAGTGTCTGTTAAAAAGAAACAAAAAAAGACAATGTTCAAATCCCTTTGGATTCCACTGTATTACACAACAAACTATGTTTCATGACATGTAAGCTTTACAACACACCTAACAAATAGCTTTAGTATGCTATGCAGACTATGGTTGGAACTGATTATCACTCACACTACTGCATCACATGAATTCAAATCAAACACATAATAATTACTAACAACTTACAAGGAATAGAGCATTTGTAACATTCATATTAACCATGTCAGACCAGCTAACACACTTAACACAAACACTCCATCCCTGAAACTTACCACTGGTTTTTCTACATCGACACTTTCAGTTTCCACAGCTGAGGTATCATCACCAATATGTTGTTGTAACAGTAGGGCATCAGCTAGTAATTCTTCTTCTGTTTTTGTGGCATCAACATGTAATGTATCCAGAAGACTCTGATCCTCTGGAACATGAAGATCTGTTCCAACATCATCAGAGAAAGCTGGATCTTGTTCTGTTTGTCCAGAAACCTGAACATCTGCTGTAGAATGTAAAGAATATTGTTAAAATTTAATGAACTATATATACCACTAGGCCATGACATAACCTCTCATTGACAATATCTAGGTTCAATTCTGAGGCAATGAACAAACTTCAATGGACAAAATGACAAGAAAGGATTCCGAGTACTTTCATTTTCACTGACGTATGTGATCAGCCTGAACAACCAGCACATTATAACAACCTTATTCCTTAGGTGGCACTTCACCTGGATTCAAACTAAGGATGTTAACTTTTTGAATTTTACACAATACTACGAAAAATGCAGACATAAACATTTAGTGTTGTTTTCTGAATGGAAAACAATTTACAATAATATGAACATACCTTAAATTATAAGATAGACATTAATAAAGTAATCTTAATACATTCACAGTATTAAATTTCACATCTTTGTCTGTCTTTCTTTTCAGTTAACTATAGCTTCAGCTGAACAGGAAAGGTGGTCCGAGCACTTCACCATATAAAGTGAAGCCAGATCATGTTATCAAAATGATTTTCTGCAACATTCTCACCCCCCTTTAGAGGAAAGGAAAAAAACTGATGATGTTCAGAACATCCACTCAAAATAAAACTTCCTATATGAACAAATGAAGGGAACATCTATAAAAACACAACTGATACGAGGCGCGTCCACAAAGTAAGTTTCCCACTCGTCCCACAGCTAGCAAACCTTATATTGCGCGAAGCGACTGTGCGTACGTGATAGAGCAATGACGTAGCATGGCGCATGCACTAACGGC